AGAGTAAAGTTTAAAAAAATCGTGTGCCCATAGTCTAACTATTTTTACTAATTTTGAAGTTTACAAACTTTGATACAAGATTGCGAATTAAAAATAAAGTTACGAAACAATCTTGTCTCATTTAACAAATCACGAATCTCAACTGTTTCGAAGGTAAAAAGAAGGTCACTCTACGAGATTGCATAATTTTGAGTTAAGGAACGTATGTACATATAATTTCCACATATTTCAATGTTGATATGTACATCTAAATCCGTAGTCTATTTATTTGTATTTTCATTCTTCAAGGCAAAAGTTTTAATCAAAAAGTAAGGATTCACAAATGTATAACGATAAAGCTTCGCATTTAATCAGTGTCTTGCACATATATGTTTACGTCTTCTTCATTCCTTGAAAATGCACAATAATGAGACGGGCGAAAATTGTGGATAGTGTATTGATTACTTTCTTTAGATCAACTGGGTCAAACTAACTGCTTCAGCTGGAGGCAATTTTACTTTGGAGCACATGCAATGTAACTTTCATTAAGCAACTAGGATTTCAATTTACTTTATGCATACTTTGCTATCCATTTCTGTTTTTGTTCATTTATTGTGCAAGCGAAATGTTAGAGGGAAGAACTCATTAAGGCTTCTTCGTAATGTTATTGGATAACAAACAAAGGAAGACGTTACATAAATAGAATTAGTGTTGGGACTACTTATTATACTAATCTGTTAGGTGCCACTCACATTGATTATGCAGGCTCTGTAGAAATTGATCACTTGTGTTCAACATTGAAATTTAATCTCACAGATTGGTCATGTTTCCTTCTGCACACATTCTGAAAAAAATTGAGATTAAGATGCATCAATTACAGCATCAGAAGTAACAAGTGCCTATATGCAATTCCAATATTCATGCCACATTTTACAAATAAGCTACACCCACGGTACATACGTAATCACTCAACAAAAAACCAATTATTTCACATCGGCCTTGATCCTCTCATTAGAGACAAGAGAGAAAGTCCATGTTTATATTTTGCCTGTCCAAACAAGCAGTTAATTTGGGGATGGAATGCACATGAGACGTTTTCTGGTAATTTATAATGCAATGGGATAATTAAATTGCGAGCAAATTAAAGGAGCTATGAATGACGGTAAGAATTCAATTTGACTAATGGAGCCAACTTGGATGGATGGAGGATAAATGGAGGAAGCAGAAGAATGAGGAGATGCTCGAGCAGTTCATTTTCTTATAATTTGTAACTCACTTTTAGGCAATAATTTTATTACATTTCACGTGACAAGTGCAATAAGATTCCATGAAATTTTAGATTGGCGATCCAAAAGTGGTTGGCACATTACAAGACTCGACGCTGACTTATACTTAATTAGGTGAAAATTTCAAAAGGGAAAATTTGCAAATTCAAATTTGTTGATGTGGTTCACAGGTGCCAATTTGTGAATAATTAATTAGGAGACAAGATAAATCATCATCAATCTTATTGCTGTCAATGTACGCTCCTACCAAGATATTTCACAAGAACAATCCCAAGATAATTCAATAACGGTTTTCTGGGGAGCCTGAGAACTGAAGATGTTGGATTCTATGTACATATACTTTCATCTCCAACTTTTTATCATAGTTTCAGTATTGCTTATGTCTATTTTTAGCATTCAATGCATTCTACCTCCAGTGAAACTGTATGGTTTCAACTATAGTTGTACCCTTCAGTTTCACTTCATAACAGCCAAAAATTGGTTTGTTTTTATGTCTTCCTCTCCATTCATCCATCGCAAAATGATTTATTCATCACTGTTTTTTGTCGACGACATTTTATAATGTGGTCCTTGCAAGCCACTACAAGAAAGGGAAACCATTCAACAATTGGGCTACTGACTGACGTATAAAGACTCAGACGTGGAGAGAGAAAGTAACGATGAGAAAAAATTTGCCTTCATGTTACATACATTCTCATTCTATGTTATAACCCGGAAAAGTCCAAGCTATGAAAATCTGAATAATGCTGAAACTCATGGAAAAGTCAGACTCCATGTAACACGCTGATTAGCGGCGCGACACTTTCTCGCTGAAACCCGGCCGGAGTATATTTGGAATCTAGATTGTCTAGGAAAAATTTCATGCAGATGCAAAACCACATGAAATGAATAACCAATTCACTAATACCAAGTATTTCAATCTCCTCTTGGCATATTTCATTGGACATTCAAAGGAAAACTTGAAGGGTGGGAAATGACATGCAGAGAGAAAAAGGTTATTTGAATTGTAAATTTTGAGTTCAAAGAGCTGGATCATCAAACTTTTTAACATATTGATTTCTATATTTAAATTAATACTTCGTGTTGAAGGATAGCAAAAAACAAGTTCACATTTTGTAATACGCTGGCATTGCAACATTACTTTCACCGGATGAAAAGAAATCACAACATTTCTGACGCTCTCTGAAACTTTGTTGCCTTCTGGACTATGTAGAAAGGTATTCAATGGACTCGTTATTATCATTATATTTCGCCCGAATACATTCATATTCACTCATTCGCAAGGGTAAAGTATTGGGAAGCCCGAAAAGTACATAGGCTATTTTCTTAACTGTGCTTTTAGTAAATAATTTATATTTTGGTGGGGATGAAGAATTCCATTGAATTTTCAAAAGTGGTCCGTACAACTCCATATATTAGTAGGAATGCGCATGCAATATTCAAAAGATACAATAAATTGGTAATAAATATTCTCCAATCCAAGTCAATCATAAATAGTTCAAAAGTCAACTTAAAAGGGAAGAAACATGGAATGCAATTTGTGTACAATTTAAACTTTCATTACAATTTCGTAATGTCAAATCTGGAAATTATATAACGACTACTTGAGTCGAAAACTGAATTGTACATATCATGCATAAGGAATTAAGGAGTGAGATCGGTTGTGTGCTTGTCGGTGACACCAATTCTGTGTTATGTGCATGCATTTTCTCACAGTAAATTTTATCTGTCCGTACTACGTACATACATGCGTAATATGTATATATGTATTATATATAGTAGTGCGACGTCACGATCAAGAAACGCCTTTATTAATTTATTAATTAAAAAAACCAAATGCTCATTTCTGGCTAAAAACCATTATAATTTTGACATTTAACTACGCCCTCGGAATCAGAGATATGTTACCAACTCAAGGTGTCTCGGGCATATTTATGTAAGTAGTACCTCTATTTGTATTTATTTCTGTGGTCTCGAGCAATTTATTAGAGGGTGAAACTCTCTGATAAGATCGTTATGTCCGTCTGTTGGTCCAATAACTCGTGGACGCAAAGACACACAGACTTGAAACTTGAAATTTAGCTTCGGCGATATAGGTCACAAGGTCATGGCGCCAGGTTACAGGTCATAATTTTCTTAAATGAGATACCATGTGAGGACTCAAATTATGTAATAGTACTTTCAAAGAGCTACCCAACGGAATATGTAATTTTGACCTGCGGTGCCCGGTGACCGTGTGGTCCACGGCCAAAAATGTCGAAATACTTCACCTGGGTCAATTTTGACAGATTTTTAACGGACAACTACTTAATATGATAATCATTTTCACATAAAGTTTAACTCTCAGATTACATAAGTTGTAAAGGTTTATTATACTAACTTTATACCTTTAGAACGGTACTCTATTGATGGAGATCCCCATACACATATATTCATTTTGACCCATATTATCATCGAATTAAAGCAAAATTTTATAAAAATTGAAAAGTTCGAGAGTTTTGATCGCGCATAGTCAAATACATTGTTCCTATCGTGGACTTATCGCTTAAAAATGCCAATCCTTTCCATTTCCTGTTTAAATCTTATTTTCTGGAGGACAAATGGCAACAAAACATTTAGATGCCGTAGTGCCCGTAGTGTAAGCTACTCGACGCTGTGGTTTACCCCGTACAAGGAGGAGGACAAGATTTATTGCGAATTTCTCCTTTAATATGAATTTTATGAGGTTGTGCATCTGCACTGTAGTCTCACCCTCCACTCGGATGTCGGATGTTGAGTGTGCTACAAATTCAATAACAGGCCGTAAAGAGCACTAAACTAAATACAATCAGTCGGTTAGGAAAAGTCTTGTGTGCAACTTCCTATTGCTGCCAGACTGACACCAAGACCATAATGCAGTGCATAACAACCTCTCGTACAACCTCCTGCTGCTGCTGCTCAGTAGTGCAAATTGCTCAAAAGTGCCAAACAACAAACGCTCTCAAACCAACATAAAGTGAATTCCAGCATTCATTAAATCTCACTGCGATGCGATGAGAGTTGAGAATCGTTGACACCACTCAACTCAATGTTACGTGCCCTTACATCTGAAACCACGAACACAACCACCCTCGCAGCGCTTATTGTGATTATTGCTTCTTCTCCATCCATCTTTTGCACAAATGTACTTTGTAGTGACGATTGTGCCAAAATAGTAATTTAGAGGAGAGGCTTGTCCTCCCGTCTACTCGACTAAAATCGAATTCCTAATTTATTACTCACTCAGTACTCGATTGTTGTTCTCAAACTAAACCTGACGGGGTTCTTCTTACTAAACGCCATACAATCAATGTGGGATGCAGTCAGTAACAGAGGATGCATAATTTTACAGACAATTGAATACCCAAGTTTTTCAAATATGCACATGGGCTATGCCGTGTTAATGTTCATATTCAGATATGTATGCGAATGTAAATGCTGTATATATCTGAATTTGAATATTATGTATTTGACTCTGAACTTTACTTTGAAAAACCATGAATGAGCTTATTCGTTTGGTCCAAATTTACATATATTGAGCCTCTTCTGAGAGGAGTCCTCTCAACTGAAAGAGTGAAAGGCACCTAGGAAGCTATTGAAAGCAACTAATCCTGAATAACAAAACTGAGCCCAACCTTTAGCCATGCATTTATTTGCCAAGAAGTGTGACAACTACACATTGAACAAAAAGCAGTTGAAAACTTTTAAAGCCTTTAGTATTGCAGAAGAAGCCGGAGGATGCCTAAAAGAAATGGGACGGAGACGGCACCAGACGGCGAGATCAGCTTCGAAGAGTCCCAACAGTGGCAACTAAACGTCCTCAGTCAAAAGGAGGAAGAATGCCGGCTTCTGCAGGAGTTGGATAAAATCCACGGTGGTCCAAGTCGCACTGATCTCAATGGTAATTCCGCTCTGCTTTCACTTTCTCCATTCCGTCGACTAGTGTTCTCGGCTCAGAAATGTCGTCTATTGACATTGCAGTGCTTCAAACTCTTCACTCAAGTGAATCGCCTCTTCTTACTTGATTTCACTTATTGCCCCCACTTAAACGTGTTTGAATCTGTGTAAAACAATGTATGTACATATGATTTGTACCCACGTACGAGAGTAGCAAAGTGGAACATACATAAATATGTATGGCTACTGTACTGTCAGTGAGTCTCAACAACAATGATGTCTTTTCTTTTGTTTTTTATTAGGTGAACTACGTTGTCCCAGAGCGTGGGATTCGCTGTATTGCTGGGAAGCAGCAAATGCTGGGGAAATTGTCAGCGCACCTTGTCCTGAATATGTTTTCATGTTCAATCGGTCGGTAAGTAATAAGTTAACAAAATTTAAAATATACGTACGGCATTTATTTTTTATTTTACGGTGAAAGGATGAACATGCGAGGATGGCGAATTTTATGAATACAAATAGATTCATAGCGGAGTACTTAAGCAGAGGGGCTGTTGGAACATGTCGCAGAAAATTAGTAGTTTACATGCATATTTTGCACAAGTGTATGGTTATAATGGTCACATAGTTTTCTCAACCACTTGTTATCACGAGAGTCATTCACTTTATTGCTCATAAAACAATGACATTCGTAGGACGTAATTGGCCTTGCTTGGCACTAAACCCAAGGGTTTCATTTCATTTCCTTTGTCCAGAATCCACATTGTGTCAGTAGCATGATAACAACTGATCATGATCTCAATCATTAGTTGCATAGATTTCATTACGTATATAAGTTGACTGCCTCTGTTGTTCACCGATTGGATTTTTATCTCAGATAAAACAAGCATCCACTGTTTGGACCATAATTGAATTAGATTGCAATTTGTCGTCATCATCCTAACCTAAGACTACACTCGTCTGCGGCTTCAAACTGCGGTATTTCATGTGACTGCACTGTCGCAAATTATGGGCAAGTCGGAGAGGGTTCAGCATTGAAATTCTATTACATAAGGCAGGAAGCAGCCTTGGATGGGAATGTGGTTGCGACATTCTATGGATTTCGAGTAATGACAACAGAAGGGAGCAGAAAAAGAGTGGGTGGCTATGGCATGAGTAACGACATGGCGATGAGAGAAGGACTGACCCATTTTTCCATGTCACTAATGAATTCTCTGGAGATTCTCTGCGTGTTCTAGAATGATGTTGACTTTTAAAATCAGCTGGACAACAACTAATGCCTTCTTACAACAACTGGTAAAACTTTTAACCTTTCTCTAATTCGTAGGAGGAAGTCTCCAGGTACTGCACCGAAAATGGTACATGGTTCGTTCACCCAGGCACCAACAAGCCCTGGTCGAACTACTCAATGTGTCTGGGTGGGAAAGTTGTCAACTCTGATGGAGAAGCAATGCAAGACTCTCTGATCATGGTAACTCATCAACGACAATCCGATTTCTATTTCTGTGGAAAAAGCCGCGTCAGTGCAATTTGTTGAATGAAATGCGTAGGAATGGCTCCCGATAATCAAGACGATCTCACAAGTTGGCTACTCCTTGTCCATGTGCACACTCATCATTGCATTTCTAATTTTGATCTCAATCAAGTAAGTTTACTGAACCATTTTATACCATTTTATTATTCAACACAGACGGTAAACCTCGCAAAATTACAGGAAGCTGCGCTGTCCTCGGAACACACTGCATGTGAACCTTTTTCTTTCGTTCATGCTTCGGGCATTTATGGCGCTTTTGAAGGACTCTTTGTTCATCGACGGAATCGGATTGCCACAGTCCATTGTGGACGGTACCATCTTTTCTGCAGAAAAATCAGTGAGTTATACTTATCTTACTTTAATTATTACTTGTTATTATTTCTATTCTTATTCTTCTTCAAACTACCGACACTTTTGACTTTTTGCATATACACAAATATTTGTTAATGTTGTAAAAACACTCGTGGTTATGTATTTGTATGTATGTACGTATGTCATCAAAACATTTTATGGCTTTTTAAAACCAACGAGAGAGACCAGGTTGAAAATATTTGTGCTCCAACTGGGAACATAAATCTACATGCATTTGAATACATCAGGCTGTGAATGAATTTTGAAAATGAGGTCGTGATAAAGTTATGAATAAATAACCTCGAGCAGTCTCTAGTTTATAACCAAATGTAAATAAAAATACGAGGAAAAATACAAAGAACTTCTTTCATATGGATACATCGTATTGCATATTTTTGTATATGTATATTATAGAATTGGGAATGCAAATTGGTGACTACCCTCTGGCAGTATTTTATCGTCGCCAACTATTCATGGATTTTGATGGAAGGTAAGCAAATTTTGCGATATTTCACTACTTTTTTCTTTATGGGATAATATAGTCACCACCTTCAGTTTTCTATTAATAAATTATTTTTTGGAGAAAGTACGTGTTTATGAGGAAATGTAGATTTACAAATTTTTGCCACGTTGCCTTTTCCTGTGCTTATTTCCTTGTCTCAAGGCATGTCTTAAACACTTGATATCCAATTCAAACATTTTTACAGGTCTTTACCTTCACAATCTGATCTTTCTGGCTCCTTTCTCCGACTCATCAGCCATCACTCTCTACGTTCTGCTTGGATGGGGTAAGCATAGTGCATGCCTACTTGTAAACTAGGATGAAAGTAGATCCCTCATTATTAAACAACAGGGAAGTTACAAATGAGACGACTCTCTAGTCTCAACAACTTTTGTGCAACCACTACCCAAGCAAATTCGCTATTCGTGCTTTCTCTAGTCAGCAGAGTTATTATTCTATGCTAAATATGCCTAGTGCATACTATTATTATTTGCCACACTTCCGCTAGAACTAAATTAAGTCTGCACTAGTGAAGGGACTGCGATTGGCCAAGGCCCAAGCTTTTTACCCTTGTGTCATTCTGTATATTGCAAGTTAACGGAACTATAGCTTTCTATTCAACCGTCAGTCTATCCAGGTTTTGTGGGTTCTAGTTAATAAGCGACTTTCTCCATTAGTCAATTTGATACAACAATGAGCGTTTACTCAACCATGTAGAACGTGAAAACTTTTAAGGCTTTTCTCTCGTGTTCATTGTGCAAGATCGCTGCAAGAGGTATTGGTGCTGGTGAGCAAGAATGGTTGCTTATTCGAGCCGGATTCATTAATGGGTGTCATTTACATTCAAACCGAAAGAGGGTATTTCGCACCTGTATGAGTTTCATAGTTTTTTATGGTATCCTTGGCGGAGGCTATTTCTGGCTTCCGAATTTCTTGAAGGTGCTATCGGTACTGTGAGTAACAAGTAAAATATAAATGTTCGGACGTGGTTGAGACATTGCAAGCCTAGTAGTGAAGCTTGTACTTGAAATACTTAACTAATCCTAAGTATGGCAGGGAAAGTAGCCGAATTCTAATGTTGTGTTGCGTAGATTTTGCTCATACGTGTAAATATGCGATGAAAATATACTTTTTGCTTTTTCAAGGACTACCAATTCCTGTGATAATCTCATGGGTCGTGTGTCGAATCAACTTTGATGACTCTCTCTGCTGGACTACACATCATAACAATGCCAATCTTTTTCTCATCGTCAGGTATTGTCTTTTGTATATTTATACGTACTTACATACTTGCAATATTTTTTTATTTCTAGCACACTTGTTGCATTGCAATTCTAACGTAGCGTTTTAAAATGGTATCCTAATAAGTCTCACTTAATTTCGTTTCAGAATTCCAATCATCGTGACAATTGTGGTAATAATTATTATGAAAACGATATTTGTTAATGGTTAATGGTCTTATTTGGTGTCAATTTTAGTTATATAAATGCAAGAGTACTAATGTTGCGTCTGGTTGTTTTTTAAACCAAGCCCAAAATGTCTACTCATTTTGATTTTACAAAAAAAAACGAATTTGCTTTGTTTCTATTAAATCTGTTCCAATCGGATTACTTCCCTTGTTTTCTTTCACTCGACTCGAAGATTTAGGCAGAGTATAAAACAATATTTTGTTTCTATTCATTCGTTGATCCATTCACTCCACTCATTTTTTTGTCTCCCAAGGTCTCCTTTTTATAACGAAGAAAACTTTGATCTATTTATCCGCTTTCTCTCTTTGTCATAGTTGAACTTTCTCTTCTTCGTCAATATCACGCGAGTTCTTCTGGTAAAGTTACAATCTGCAGTATCAATCGAGACAAGAAAATACAGGTGAATAAAATTTGATGTACATTTATTTAACTAAAAATCTTTCGACACTTTGAAATTTATAATTCGTTTTCGTTGACATGTTTACAGGTACAGGTTAGTATGCATTCTGCACAGTCTGCTTGCATGCTCTCTTTCTTGAAGCTTATCGAATCTCTGCTTTATTCTGCCCCACCCACCCATCATAAAATACATAGTTGTACATATGCGTGCATATTTGCTGTCATCTAAAAAAATGTGGTCAATATAAAATTTCGAGGTTTTTTTATATGAAATCGCAGAAAATGGGCAAAATCTACCCTGGTTCTTGTTCCTCTATTCGGCGTCCATTACATGCTGTTTGTGGGAATGTCATACTATTGGGGTATAAATCCCCTGATTGAGGTTATCTGGCTGTTCTGCGACCAATTATTTGCAAGTTTCCAGGTATTCGACGCGTACTGAAAACCTGAAATATGTGTATTCTACATTATAATATAACGATTATCATAATCAGGGTTTCTGCGTGGCAATTCTGTACTGTCTGCTGAACGGAGAGGTGCGAAGTGAAATCACAAAGAAATGGCGAGGATGGAGGTCTGAGTCGGAGTCGAAGAATGTCTGGGTTCCATTGCACCATATCACATCACGATTTAACCACCACCGGTTAGTGTCACTTTGATAACTTCATAAAAGAAAGTTTGTAACGTGAAGCCACGTGAAGTGAAATGGAATCACACTTTTATTATCCCAATTTATATAGGTCAACTCAAGAGATGGGAATGAGTGGCACATCGATGGCTGGCGTTTTGAGCAACTGTACCGCAGCCGTTAAGCAACCACTCACCGCCGCTGATAACACCAACCCGAGACGATTGGATAGAGAATTCACCGAAGAACATCAAATAGAAATTACTCAAGGAGATTAAGTTGTGCTAATGTTGCAGCAGTGACGTCCTATGTACTTCCACTCGTCATTCGGCTATTTCATGACCTGATCATGCAGTCTCAGATGTCTTTAGGCTATTTACGTGGTAGGAGAACGGACAGAGAAGTATAAATTACTAGAAAACCGTGGGGAATAATTGTTCTCAAATGCTACCCGTATCAAGATGTTAATAATATTCAAAAGTGACGGGAGAAAGTCGTGGTGCTGATATATTGCGCTGAATATTTTGAATATATGCTGCTGAATATTTTTAATTAACTACCCTCCTAAAATGATGGAGTTTGTCGCTAAATTGTGGAAATGAATCCCCAATGATATTTACCCCCTCAATATCAGAGGAATCCCCTTAACCAATATATGAATATTTTATTCATATGGCTCATCATGCAGATTATATGGATAAAAAATTGTCGTCCCTCACAATGAGAATTTCTATGATTATTATGTAATATTGTATTACACGTACCATATTAACGACCTTGCACGTATGTTTGTACATATAGATCTGCTTTCTTTAATTATCGTGAGCATTTATTTACATCTCAAAGGGAACCTTTAAAAGTCCCATTATGTCACTCGACCTGTGTAAAGTGTAATGTTTCCACAAGTTAGTTTATCGATGGTCTCAATTCATAAATATGGATGTATATTATAGTGAAAGTAACAATTTATGGTGATAAAATGCCAAGTATTAATCTAAGCTACATATTGCATTAATTTTCACTTTCTCAATATATCATAAAAGTCATGCATCTTTAAAATTGCAAAAAATACATATATATGTACATATACACAGATGTTATACAAGAATAAGTCAAATGTATCTATTTATTTTGTTTAAATCATAAATGCTAACGACGGAATTGCATTATATTAATGTGTCTCAAAAATACAAAATTTCAACTGGTTTTAAAAGCACTTGTTAAACCTTAGAGTTAGTATATAATGCATGCAAATTATACTATGCATAAATATATGCTAATCTGGCAAACATAAATATATGCATACATGGTGTAAAATTTTAAGACTTTGTCCTATTTTGAAAATAAAACCCTTATAGCAACTATTGGTTGGTGTGTTTGGACTGTTGGTTGTACAATTTATTCAAAACTATTTTCAAAGCGTTCACGGGTTAGAAAACATCAAGCAAGAAACTTGGAGCTGAGCTTTCTTGACGACTTGCACGAAATCAGAGGACTTCAACCAACAATAAAAGTGTTCTGCATGAATTTAAGTATAGCGTTAAGTGTCTTCGTTCTACACTAAAGGCTTACGACAAATGCATACAAAAATTCACTAATAACTACAACATGATGCTATTTTACTCTAATTAAAGTACAACACAATAATGTTCATTTTTCCATTTGCTAATCACACGAATGGGAAAATGCTTGTCTACTAATGCCTTGCTCATTTCGTTGGATGATTCTTTTTAGTTGCAAATTTGCTGTCTGGAGATTAATTCCAAAAATGATCTCCCTTTCTGTCCAGGTTCGCATCCTGTTGATGTATCAAAGTTGTTTGAACTCTACGTGATTGAACTTTTAACTCAGACTCTTTTGATCGAAAGTAGTGGTGATGAAAGTTAAGAATCATGTACTTTGACATTTTACCACACGACTCATTTTCATCCTGTGGTGATGTAAAAAGTATAAGCTGTCGAACTTTCATCACCAGCTTATGAAAATATGTACGAGGAGAAAATTACAAAGAATGTAAAAGCTTGGCACGTAATTATTTGGGTGGAAATGATACTTTGAGTAAATCATTAAAGAGAAAGCAATCGGCACAAAACTTTCCTGACATACTGTCAACGTACACTTTATCGATATTCGATATCTAATCAAATTCCACAAAGTTGCAAAGAAGCAAGTGAGGCGGCATCAATTATTGTACCTTCTTAAACAGTACAACATCTGCACTCGTTAATTCGACGACGTAAGGCACATACTTAGGTAAACACAGTTCAAATAGAACTTGCAGTCTTATTTTACAACATCATCATTTCCAAGCGATAAGTACGGGAAGTACAGATAAATGGAGTTCGAATTAAAGTAAATAACAAAACAATGGCGGAAAAAGACGGCTACGGAGATAGATTTGTGCTTGAAACTGAGGATGACAAAGGTATCTAACGAATTTTACTTATGTACGTACGTACATGCTTTGCTGATTTAAGAAGCTTATGGAGCTTGTAAGACGAGTTCAGCGTATTGCAATTCATAATTTAGAATAAGTAAGGTGCACTTTGTTTTGTTTTTGTTTATTTTTTATATATATTTGCAAATGCATATCATTCCTAAATATTATAAATTATGTCATACGCTACGTTGGCATTGGAATCTAGAAAATAAAAGTAGTTTGGCAACTTCTACATAAATCACGCACCATTCATTGAAACTCCATATTATGCATTCGATAGGATCATGCACATACTTCACAAATTATATTTATATAAAAAATAATTTCAATTTTCGCATGCACTACCTTGGAATATGCAAAATCAGTGTTCAATGCACGAAATGGGGTACTGCACGAAATTGGACGAAATGATTTTTAATTCATCTTTAAATACGATTAAACTGAATTATCTAGTTTGAACACAATCAGTGTAAACCAATTTACAACAAGGTCTCTCTAGAGTTATTTATTCTTAACTCACAATTTTTCCCACGTAATGATTTTGAGTAATTTAAATTAGCGTATTTGACAACTTCCAACCACATGAAAATGTAATAATTTCATACTTGAGTATATGTACATATGAAAGTTTCGAACAATTCATGCAATTCATACACGATACAATTTTATATGTATTATATCCATTTCGTCGGAACACTGTGCAAATGCTTAATACACGCTGGCCTTGCTACTTCCTTTAGGCAAGTTTGGTATCATGCTGATACAAGTACGGTAACTAGATAAAATTTTGTCAAGAACAAGGCGAGTTTAAACAAAAGACTCCTCGAACCGTGTAAAACAAGAAGAAAATTGTCATGAAAAATTAATTTTTGGCCGACTCATTTCCAAACAGTTGATACGTCGACCAACGATTCATTAGAACAAGGATCGCGACAGTGTTGTCCACAAAGTAAGAAGATGCGTTGCGGTTTATGCATCATTGGCACCATCGTGTTCCTAGCTCTAATTACTCTCGGAGGGGGTTGTCTTTTCAGAAATCCGACCATTTTCAAGTACCCACTTCACGCCTCCTGCAACGTAACTTGGTAAGTTTGTAACGTCACAACCCACAATCCGTTGCACTGATAAATAAATATCTAACATGCACAATGTTTAAAAATGACAGGACATTCCAGGAGAAATGTGACGGAGTAGCGAATAAATTGATTCAACAGATGGAAGTCTGGAAAACAAACGCTACTTGCGGTAGTGGGCAGAAATGTCTGTATACGGTAATTCCTATTTGCCAAAATTACAATGGGTTTGAGTTCCTTAATGACAACTGGACATATTTCCAAACAGTTTGGCTCCATCGATGGAAACATTTTAAAAGGGACGCATACAACACCCAAAGCCGGCTATACTGACGATCTCGAGTTCAAGTTCTACCCAAACACTGCGTCTGGAGGATGTAATTTAGTTGTGAGTCCTTATCATAACTTATGATTTGACTCATTACGGTTATGATTCATATAACTATAATGAGAAATGTGGTACGAACGAAAACATGTAGATACCTAAATAATTCATCATTTGTCATGGTCAGGGATTTTCAACGTCGAGGATTTTTTTCGCTGTTCTTGATTTCGGAACAAATTACTGCAGTCTTCACAACTTGATGGAAGGTTCTGGACTCATAAATGACCCAAACTACAGTGAATTAACTCGTGATGAGGTTTGCACTCAGTACTCGGCAGCGAATTGTGATAAGTATTAAGGAAACTTCATTTCGAAGACCCATTAGGAGTCAAATCGTTCTCACAGTATTATTTTTCTGCTCAAGCACGAACTTGTGAAAAGTTTGTTAATGTATAACACCAATAGAAATAATAAAATTGCACTTTCCTGAAGCTCATAAACCGTGTTTTAATTAATTGATATTTGCATATAAAAATCATTTTTTTCATGCAATTCTTGCATATAGCGTGTATATGATATCTCAAGTTACCTCAATCCAGACTCTGTTTGCAGGGGAGCGCCATTGAAAGCGGCTTCTCTCAAAAGCTTCACCGGCCCTGTTTTTCGTGGCGTATGTTCACTTTCTCCTCTCTTCCTCCTCCACGTTTGCACCAACGCCCAGCTAGTTTGTCGACCAGGAAGGTCCCAAGGACTCAAGATGAGTAAGGCACATCCTCCAGAGTTGAAAAAGTAAGTGCTCAACCGTTTGTATTCATTTGACCCCATTGTTTGTAAACATACATTCACCGGCTTATGTATCACCTGTTTCCCTTCTTAAGAAGGGATGAAAAGATACAAGGGCTAACCTTTGTATCATCGAAATTGGGTCAAATCAAAAATGAAGGTGGTGATTAATAATGTTTACTTGATACTTTCAGGTTGATGGATAAGCGATTAGCAAGTAAGTGAAAGTTAAATAATCATATTCTATCTATGGGGAAAATTTCACATGGATGCCAACTTTTTCGCGTAGGATATATGTGTATGTGGTTGCAATTATTTTTTTGTTTTTATTTCCAGTGAAGCTTAATGGGGGGCGATCAGTTAACGGAATCCTGCGTGGATTCGATCCCTTCATGAACCTTGTGTTGGATGAAACCATTGAAGACTGTAAAGATGGAAATAAGAAAAATATTGGAATGGTTGTAAGTTGTTTTGTTCGTTGTGCTCAAACTTCAAATTAGTATCTTGTATTGTAATTAAATGAGCATTGTGTATTTATTCAGGTGATCCGAGGTAACAGCATCATAATGATGGAAGCATTAGAAAGAGTAACGTGATTACTTTACTACTTACTTACTATACTTTGGACTGTCGATTTCGTTCATAGGTGACTCTAGGCTAATTTGCTGCCTTGAAATGAGGCCATATTGTTCATATTTTAATTTTGTATGTGAAAATTAAATGTCTTTTGTAATAAAGGTTTAAAACTGTCGTATATTTGTAGTTGTGTTGTAGGATCTCTTTATTTTTATCAGAGCTTCCCAATCAGTCAATTTATATAAATAAAATAGTAACATTGCACATTATTTAGTATAAGGCAATAGATGAATATCAATCATTATATTGCCACCGAACTTCAATTTGAGAATGTACATAAATACATAGATAATAGCACAATCACATATTTAAACTAACAATTACATGTATGAAGATGTGTGTGTTGTTGAATCGTTAACATATTTTGTTCTAGAAGTAGGTAAAAATAAGGTATCGTTACAGACAAGGGACAACCTTTGCAGAATATAAAATGAACACTAGTTGGTTGGTCTAAATTGATCTAATTTTAGTTCATGTTCGGTAACTTTCGTTATTAAAATAGTTTCAATAGTAGGAAAAAAGTATACAAAGTATTAAATTTAAAAAACTAAGAAAAAGACTTAATTAATTTTCGGCCATCCAATTTGGCATCCATATCTTTTGTATGCTAAAGCTGTCGAGCCTCCATCAACGCAGTTGTAAACCAATTCGCTTTCTGGGCAAATGGTTTCTGAAAATAGGATATGCAAATTTTAAAAAAAACTTCATTAGATCAAGTTTCGGCCATTACTCACCTTCGCCATTCTTTATTGTGACTAGAACATAATCTGTGGGATTAGTGATTGATAGTTTGGAGGCCAATATTTTTGCTACTTCCTTGTTGGTCGTCGAATTCCTGACGGGTACCATTTTTCTAAAATAGACAAAATCAGCTCTACTAATTAGATCGCTAAACAAATGTCTACAATTTAAGCTTTGTGTTAACCTGATTAAAGTTCCATTTCTTTCATCTGGTATGAGAACGCGTACTGAAGTAAGGCTTAAACTTCCTTTTCTTGCATCGGATTTGTTAACTTTCAGTGAAGAGACTGCAGATTGCAGCATTGATAAAGAATAATTATTTTGCTCAGCTAAAGCCGTGGGCAATAGCCCAATCATGTAATCGACATGCGAGGGAAGATTAGCAGAACAAACATTTCCCATTGTTTGCGACAAAAGAGGTAGAAAGGAATCGGAAGAATAATTGTCCAGCTCCTGAACCTGAGTTACAACATTTTCATTACATGAAATACACAAGTATCATTGCTTATTTTTTGTACATGCATAGTAAAAGAAAGAGAAGTCTGCACCCTCCGTCAACACTTTGGTTTTTCTTGATGACATACCTGACAAACAAACTCGTTCCATTTATCAAGCTTCTCGAGTGGAGATATCGAGTCTTCAAATCCTGAGTAGATAATTCTTAACTTTGCGTAGATGATCTGATGTTCTTTATCAAACTGAGCAATATCTGGGGTGGATGGTAAGTGTAGTGGTTCACCGTTTTTTGCATTATAAGCTTCAATCAATCCTCGAATGTGCAGATTCAGTGGTGAAATCACGAGATCCACTAGGCAATCTGATTGAAAATGATTAATTAATTATGTAAATAAATAAATAATTAATGGCTTAATGGATAAAATACCTTCCAAAATGGAATCAATGTTTAAGAATTCGCTATGACTTAATGTTTCCGTTTGCTTTTTAATTTCCTTGCGCAGCTCTTCACTCTCCGAGTTGGAAATGCCAACCAAGTAATTTTTCATTCCCGAAAAAAATTGTCGGACGTTACGCATGACTTTAAATGGGTCCTGGACTTTAGCAGCAATTGTACACGAAATGAAGCTTTTTATAGTTGGCCCAAAAACACCGTCATCTGTGGTGGCCAATTGTTTTACGACTTTTTTGACAGATTTTCCAGCCTTGTCGACGTTTCTACCAACCTCTAGCATTCTCGTGACCTTAAAAAGATACAAAAATTAGCGATGCCATAAACGTGTAAATAGAAACAAAAAAATGAATAATACTTGAAGCACTGGATCCGATATATTTGGACTCCTGCTTGGTCGAAAAGTTTCATTTTCATGAAGACTGGCATTGTTGCTACTGCTGTGAACAGTATTACCCACTGATGAGAGTAAGTCTAGCTGCTGAGTTGATTCGGAAATTATCCTCATCAAGTGATCCCATTTTTTAGAATTCCATGGAGGTGAAATTTTGTCCTCTTCATCGCTGTCTGTCACCTCATCTGCATTAATTTCGGCTTTGCTACGTTCCAAATTGTCGTAGCATGAGAAGCGACGTTGTAAGCTATTGTACGTTTCGTTGGTGCTGTTATTATTTGTAGAAGATGTAGAATTTTCGTGACTGCTTTCACTGGGAGTCGTCTTATTACGTCGCACATTTGTAGGAGAAGGAATAACGGGGAATTTTGAAACATTTTCCTTTAAACGCCTTTCCTCTTCTTTCTGTAAGTCAAAAAGTCAAATCAATGCGTGGAATTCTCGTAACCGACGACAGACGATATGCATACTTATTTTTGGTGTAAAGTAGTAAAATAAATTGACGACTGTTGAATTTGAGGTTTGTCATAATGGAAAGGTGCAGTGTAGTTGGAATTGTTGACCCATTAAAATAAATGAACAATTTTCTGTGATCTGTAATTTTGGGGGAGAAATTGAATGACATTTTAGCGTTCGGAGTGGTCATACTTGTCTCACAGTTGTGAGAAAGATGAGAACGATGAAATAAGTAGCGATAGTAGTGAAAGTATATGAAAAACTTATGTCTAGATCGAAATGGGATGAAATGAAATAAATTTTATTTCACCAACCTGCCACATTACCAACTCCCAGGAATTATCCAAACACCAAGCTTTGGTGTTTGGAATTTCCATGCTAGGTGTCATTTCCGGGGTTCCTGCTGCTCTCATCCCCGGAATTGGTTCATAACAAGTGTCTAATAATAAAAATAATATTCATAGTAGTGCTTGGATGGAATACGTTTTGGTTTATGATACCTATTAGAAACTTACTTATAATACTGAAATTTTTGGACCCATCTTTCCTCTCGTCTGCTGTGACTGGTTGTGATGAAGTCGCATTTTCGACGTTGTCTCCTTCAACTCTGTTTATCATCTGTGGCTTAAGTTGTGTCTTCTTAAAATTAGTATGGCACAGGTTGTCAACACTGGCACAGGTAACCTGAGTTTTTCGACTACTCTTAGTTGAACTACTTTTTCTGGCACGCATTTGGTTCATAGACTTGTTTGCTAAACTGACGTCAGCGCAACCACTCAGTTGTGTGGTGTTAATTGCCGTTTGCCCAATGTTTATTAAGTTTTTACTTTCAGAATGTTGTGTTGTTTTGGTTAGACCTGGATCCATAATGTTCGGTTTTCCTTGTCCACCACTTCCTGTCATGTTGTTGGAGGGGCAATAATCGTCCCTGCTTGTTGTATCGCCACCATTACTACTAAAGTCTAGTTTCAACAAGGATAGAGTGGGCTGCGACCATCTAATATTAGGTTCAGTGTTACGATTCCCGTTCAGCTTCCTCAACGTTATTGAATCCACAGGTTCTGAATACAGACCAGGCGACTTCCGGTTACCATCGTTGGCTGTGTCGTCGCCGAGAGTGAGATATTGGGATCTACTGATATTGCTTTCACTGCTTCTCGAACACGAGGTGAGATTTAAATTTTGAACATTGAAACTTAATCGATGATTGTGAATATTCATATTTTGTATGACAAATTCATCTCCCGCGTTATCCTTGAATTTAGATTGATTGGAATTGATCTTGCTGCTACTGCGTGATGAGGAGTGATTAACGTTGTTATCATCATCGTCCATAGGTGTGAGAACAGATGGAATTAAGTCGGGCTTAAATGTAGACAATTTTGGGGTATGTGAACGTTCATGGGGTTGTTGCTGCTGCTGTGGACTCCATAAGTCCTCGTAATCGCTCTCCTTGTCGCGAACAACCGTCTTGGTCTAACAAAAAGAAAAGAAAAGGTTCATAAATAAATAAGTAAGCAATGAAGCTTCTCTTGAATAAACAATGGGCACGCCACTGTGGAGTGTGTACACGTTTATCTACAAGTGCAGCCATGTGAGTGGGTGGCAAAATTATAAATTATGATGATAATATTCACGTCTCACAGTGTCAAGTACAAACAAATAGCAAGAGTCATCTTTATATTCCCGTTAAAATAGATATATTAAGACAGCAGACGATATATGTAAGCTCCTATGACCCGATACACATTGCATGCATACATTTACAATACAATATACACCAGGATATGACCAAACTTAGAAAGTAGCAACTATTACTTATGTAAGCCACAAGGGATTAATAAATACTTTCACGCACTGTGTCACGTACAGTGCATTCGTTATTCCCGAAAGAGTAAAGTAAAATTAATGAAATGAATCCACAGAAGTATTATACCACGAGGTAAAGACGCAAAGAAAGGAAATTCAGATCTAATGTAGTAAGTACAGTACGATCCTCTATCAAAATGTAGACGATACATTTATGCATGCTTTTTAAGAGAAAGTGAAAGAAAAATCCATGCTTTTTTGGCTGAATAACACAGTCAAGAACAACATGTATTTTTTGTGTCACAACAAGATCCTGAAGAGAAAGAGAAAAAAATCAAAAGAAGGTGAGTAATGAAACAGTAATAAGAATATGGGAGGATATATGAGAAGTAAATACAAGACGCAAAAGGGAACAAACAAGTCAAAGTAAAGAAGTCTCATCTTACTCCTTTGAAGATATCCAAAGCCAAAATCTCCGTGTCTTTGTAATGGATAGATTCGGCTTTGTTTCCTCCGCCAGAGTTTCTTTTCTTCTTCTTTCTCCCTGTTCGCCCACTTCTATCGCTGGTGGTGGACTGGATATCTGCAGAGGGGGTGGACTGCAAGGAGGATGGTGGCGAAAGGGGAGACAGTAAGGCTGACCTGGACCATCGCAAAGGCACGGGTGGTGGATTCGGAGTCGCAGAACCACCACCACCACTGCACTTTCCCAGTTCCAGCGTTAACGTTGTGGGTCGACAAGGTCTAAGTTTGTTGAGTCATTATGTAAATAAATTTCATATGCACCATTCCTGAGTTCAATATTTTTAATATCAGGAGCATATTTTTCTTACTTTTTTGAGAGATCGCATAGGCTGTGGCTTGAGCTTGATTGGCTTCCTAGACTGGATTGCACCAAAGAAGGATGGCTCGTTGGATCAGTAGGACTATCTTTCAATCCTGCACTGCTACTTCCAGCAGGTAGTGACCAGAATTCTGTGGAAGCCAAACAGGAATATTGTTTAAAAAAAATTATATATTAGCAGTGGGTTGAAACTAACATGATCACAATTTAACATACTATGATTATGATTATGACCATGAAACTAGCATACTATGATTATTAGTGAACCTGGTCACGTTGCACGATAATAGATTAAAATTTGCTTACCTTGACCTAGTAATGCCAATGATGCTAATTTCTGTCGAGATGTTGCATCTGAAATGATCTCGGGAAGTCGGAGACAAACTGGGATTTCGTCGCTAGAATATTTTAAAATGCAACTTAAAACTTTTAGCAATAAAATTTCACTTTCACTCAGTTTCTAATTAACTATGTGATGGGTGTCAATCCACGAATGTGGGCCAATTGGAAGTTTGGAATGTTGGCTGAGTAATTACTACTGAAAATATAATTAGTTTGGACTGGGACTAGCACTAGCACGCCCATTAAGTAGTATCCGCACTCTGCTTAAAAACTCTCTAGCTCTGGTGCGAAGGTTTCTTTTCGAAACTGGTAGGGTTGAGAAAAAAATGGAGGTGAAAGCACATTTTCGAACGTGGAGGGGAAAGTGTGGAAAGAATTATATACCTTGTATCGCCGCAGTAATGGGCAATAAGCTGATGAACAGTTTCAAAATCGTGAGTAGAATTCTCCAGTGATATTTTATTCCCATTCGCCTTGAGCAGGTAGTGTTCTACATGGCTTGGCAGCTTGACTGAAATGGCCATTGTTCTTGGTAGCGTACAACTACGGACAAGGAAATTCCCCACGTTGCGCCCCTGTTGTAAGGATAATACATAATAATACAATGGGGGTCGAGAGGCTTAAATCACATTCCACACGTTCATCCTATAAATTAGGCTGCACAATACAAGTGTCAATTATAGCCTGCTCATTAATTCCCTGTCATGTACAAGAGCACACATTATCTGCACTGCGTGAATGATCAACTATTATCCATGTGAAATCAAATACACGGGCAAGCCTTTAAAGTGGCAATATTACACAGGTTCAGTGTGCACATACATTCATCATGCTTAAATTCTTAATACTACGAGTGCAGAACTAATACGTTGTACGTATGTAAACTCGACGCCAAAAATATATTACCAATAAATAACCAACGGTGCACCGCACTATCACAAACACACAATAAGTGCAAACAAAATATGTCCATACAAGTGTTGTTGATCATATTTTGTAAAAGTTTATATACGCATGTTGGGATTGTTTATTATGAATGACATTTACGTCACCTGAAAATAGTGAACGCTATAAAAAATTATGGGTGTGTCTTTTCGGCCAAAATAGTACATTAACGTTGGTATGAATTTGTGGGAGCATTCTCAATATGGACCGTAGCACTAGAGTAAGTAAGAAATGTTACCTGGAGAAGGTGCAGAGCCCCAGATCTTTGTAACGATGGTAGAAACCAAACAGGGTGCGTTCGAATCAATCGTTCCAAAAGAGAAATTTCACAAGTAGGAGATGACGAGTTGGAGGAAGGACCAGATTCGGAGCTGGAAGCGTATGAGGAGTCACTTTCTGGAGATGGGACACAGTCAGACATGATCTGAAAATACAAATACACCGGAAGTTAATAATACTCATTGTGAAATTAATTTACATTTTGTTGTCCAACAGTCGAACTACCCAACTATTTATATAGAAATATTGGTAAGTCTACTATGTCAATGTTTGTCACATGATGAGTCATGGTCTGGCTAATCATTGCTAAATTTTAACAAGTACGCTTATGTGTGCCTCGATCGCCATATCTTCCGTATTAAACAGTAGTAGTACACGTGTAGTAGAAAGAAACTAGAAAGTGTTGAAAAGTCTGACGAGATCTGATATTTCACTTTCTCCTCCTCGAAAAGTTCTGAACTCAAATGCACCACAAGATACCATCCAAGTGTCTGCTGCATTAGTCCCCTCAACCCAACCAACAATATAATAAATCTTCTGATTAAACCTCCTGGAAAGAACCAGAATTCACAGCGGTTAATTCCTGCTTCACTTTCACTATTTTACTTGATTAGAAAAAAGAACTGCTTACAAGGCAAACATCTTTCCAAAATAATAGCATTGTCATTGTCGTACTAAACTGAACAAATGCAATCACATAAAAGTTAGTGACGCTGGCACAATGAATATTGTTCCATTTTCTTCCTTGTATTTATCCATTATATTTATTAGAAGAATGGAATGGCAAGTCAATGAATGACATGATGAAAGTGCAGCAGGAAAAAGTCAGCGGTAGCAGTCGACCAAAACACAAAGAAAGAAGATTCCGGATCAAACGGGAGTCAAGAAAGCAGTAAACGAGCAATTCAACTAAAAATGAATGCAACAGATAAAATTGCCCATGCACTCATCCCCAGTCAGTCGCGTGTAGCATCATATCGTGCAACTTGTAATCGGTGAACGGAAGCGAGTAAGTTGCAAAAAGAAAGTTGAACAAGAGATAACCCGAAACATTACTCATTTGCCTCATACCAAAAAAGAAAGTCGTTTGCTGAATTACATCTTCTGTTTGTGGTGCAAGCAGTTGTCTTTTGCTTAGTGGATGCATCTCCCTCCGTTATAATTCCAATTCCAACAAACTTTTCCACGACACAGGCACAGTGAATGAGATGTAGTTAACCGAAACTCATCGACCCATCTGTCTACACTGATAAAATAAATGTCCCCAATTGACTTCCACCACCAACACCGACCGACAACAATAATGCTCCCCTCGCTCCATCCTCTGTGGCTTTTCCTTGGTGCATGCCATGATCATATGAATACCACTATTTAGCTCATGGGGTGAAACGCAGCAGCAGAGGAGCATAGCAGCAAACAAGTTAATATCAAAAAGAATGTGAACTTGGCCTTTTAACCACAAACAAATGCATTCTTTAATGACAATCGCTGCCTCATCCTCCAAACTTTTTGTAGTCTTTAATAATGTCGGGAAATTCGGCACAAGCCAAACCACCAATCTCCAGACAATCGCATCTATTACGCTGAACGTGAAGGGAATTTCTCGTTGTAATTAATGTTTCCGTTTCTTTACTTATTACTCCCCCACAATATTTTATCCTTCGCCTCCAAAATATTATTCAACTCACTCATGATCTATCCAATAAATTGACATTGATAACTGTCGTCATTTTAAACAGAGCGAATCAATTTTGATTTCCACTCTTCTGTCACAATGCCATGCACGAACAATAAAAGTGGTTCTTTTCATATTATTAGCACAATTAGCAGGAAGCCTAGCTACATATGTACAAGTAGAAGGTATAATTGATTTATGCAGTAAAAGGGACGTAAATAGCAACAAACTTCATTTGTAAGAAACAATGGGGGCGAACATCATAAATGTACAGGACCGTAAATAGTAATTATTAGATACTATCATACATGTGTCATCAACTATCCAAAAAATACTCTATGCACCCTAACATCTTTGTATGTATATCCATCAGAAATCGAAAACTTTGATAATAAGACAAGAGCTGGACACAGTGAGACAAGACAATCAATTGGAGATAATTTGACAGAATACTGCTGTTCTGCAGGGAATAACAAGAAAAATACGAGATAAAAAAGTTACCAGACAAGGAAATTCAGCAAGTCAAATCCAATCAGAGAAATAGTTTCCCAAGATGGAAAATTAACCAACTTATTACCCCAATTCCACGGGGTCCATCGGTCGTCTTCGCAATCTTATGTATGCTTTTATTAGTTCACTAAGAAAAGGTATGTCCAGAAATAACATGCCTCGAAATAGACATATTTAGTTTGAGACTCCACTTTTCATGCATGCTCTTTTCATGTATATTTTATTTCACATACGCCCTCCAATTTTCTCTCGGTTGTCAACTGCAAGATAAGATTATTTTGGTATGTGCTTAACAAAAGTTCAGTACATCAGAATAAGGAAGATCCAGAAATGGTATCGGTCAGTCACAAGTAAGCATTAATATTTGCTTACCAATATTGTTTAATCAAGTTTTATATGTATCTCACTCAACAAGGACCATAGTTCACACAATTGGTGGTAAAGGAAATTAACAAATATCATTCTTGCATATGTTCATTAACCACGTTCACCATTTACTGATTTACTATTACTTTTAAAAAGTTTTCACTAGGTACACATTTCTTAATATAATTATTGGCACTAGCAGACCCACTTTTTCCAGGTATTATTTATAATAGGTGTTGTTGCCACTAAAATGCTACAAAGCAATATGAACGATAAATTAACGAGGTGGGTTCTGGGCTAGTGTTTAATGACACTGCATTAGTTGGCAGTCAAATCCGAAGAAAACCAAAGGAAGTGAGTCATCATCAACAACTAAAATTCTCAAGTGATCAGTCGTCTCACGTTTCATCCTGAGCAGTTATACGTACGTATATTATGAACTGAATGGAATGAAATCCTGCAACGCCAGCGTAAATATCTATTATCATTCAGATAGACATATCGTGTCTTTTGGCAAAGAACGGACATGAAATAAGCATGAAATGAAGGTTGCCAATATAATACAGAGATATGTATAACCCACCCAAAATATAAGAGTTTCATGCTGCTCGAATGACTATTTTTTTGTGCATCTAGCTAGATAGAAAACCGTACTATTTAACGTTGCGAACCAAAATATCGCAAAAGCAGACTGTCGTTTTACATATCTCAACAAGACTATACATGCAGACCAATCAGTCAGAACAACTGTCCTAAATCTTTGTTGATGTAGTAGGATTATTGCAGTAGGGGCATTCAGTTCGGGAGAGATTTCAAATGTAGACACATCAACGAAACTGGTAACTGGCATGTATAAAATAAATGTAAAAAATCCTGCGTAAGACGAATTCACATATTGCCATTCCCATTACCCTGCACAAAACGACTCTTCTTTCTCCCAAAAATAAACAGGGAATAAGAGAACGACATGAAAAACTCGAGATGAATGTGCAACAGCAGAGTGACTCGATTTCCACTTCCTGCCTCCTCTCATTTTTAGGTTTCGCGTGCATTATTGGCGAGATTCCACAAATCGGAAAGCTGTTCACTGCCATAGACTGAATACCACATAAATACTAAGCAGCATACATCAGGTTAGACCATTTTGCCCATTAACTGAACCAATTCTCTCACTTCCACTCTTCTTTCATCAAACGAAACCGATCAAACAGCGAGCTCATCTTTGTCAAACCGTGAATGAATGAATGAACGAGCTTCAGCTAATTTAAGATAATGTGACAGTAGACAAACGAACGATGCGATATATCTCCACTCAAGTGGAAAGAACAGGGTTTAATTCAATAAAACAGATTCAAGATGCGTGATGCAATGAAAGGAAGGGTTTGTTGCATACCAACCAGCTCTCATCTGCTTAAGATTAGTTTATGCGTACAGTCAATGGAACAAGTATAGGCACCACCCACACAAGCTAAATAAAAATGGTTATAACTTTGGCATGCATTATCAAATTAGCATGAAACTTTGTACACATTTAGTATATCTAATGTAGTGTTCGATTATAATCATATTCCCGACTGAAATTATATAACCGTAACGTTATTCTGATTTTGACACCAACGCGTCAGGTTGGAACCTGCAAAAAGTATTGGCAACCTATGTCTTAATTATTTGTGCGAAATTTTTATAACGATAAACCTGTGCCTTTTGTCACGGTAAGTTAATCAGATCATAAAATATAACTTTATCTGCTTCGTAAGTCGAGAATGGTATTGTCTAGAGTCAAAATTGCGACACCAAACGAGCTATTTATGGCGGAGCAAGAAATAATCTTGCCTCCTAATCAAACAAAGTTGGATATCGAAAATTCAGATAAAAAACATGCTCCGCTATATTTGCTATTCGAAACGTAGCCAAATAACATGAAGCGACATTTTTAATTGCTGGTTTCCAGTGATCCGGTAGAAAAAAGATACCTAATCCTAAAATCAACGGGTTAATAAATCAAATTATCACTCGAGATCGGAATATTTGAGCTCCCAAAACCATGTTGAATTTGAGTACGAACTGTGGGGTCAACATATCATACAATATGCTGATCAATCAAAAATCATGCAATGGGGTTTGAGGGTCCAGTATCCCGACAGGCGCGAAGGTCCCCGAAACGAACAAACCCAATTAATTGGAATGGGCTAAATACCACCCTAAATAGATTCCTAATGAATGAAAAAGGGCCTGCTGGTCTCACATAAGCTAATTTTACTTATTCAGAGCTAATTAAATGGTTCAAGTCTGGCGGATGCAATAAAAGGCTCAGAAAAACGAATATGTGCATATGGCAGTTAAACACAGAAGAGGAGCGATTATGGTTTGGGGTTAAATGACTAGGTCGTGGCGTAGGTAGCTGGTCATTATCGATGGAATCATGACCAATGAGGTCCAAATAATCATTCTAAGCGATAATTTTAAATTATTTGACAAAAACTTGACCTAGGAAAGAATTTAATATTCCAAAAATGCAGTGACCCCAAACATTTACCCAAATTAACTATGTAAGTTTTTGGAAATCGAAACGGTTAAGCTTCTTTCGTTGGCCG